GAAACGGGGCAATATGTACAAACCGACGCAGTCTACTAATTATTAATTTCATATATTACACCAGGATAGTGCCTGTATTATCGTCTTAGTTTGAACGTTTAACTGACTTTCTTTCGGATTATAGCTCGAAGGGTCCAATTATTCGAGAAATTTCGAATTTAAATAGTTTATAAAAATACCGTTAGTCGCTATTAATACCGAAGTAGAATTTATAGGCTTAGAAAGTAGAGAAAAATTGATTTTTTCATGTGTATAATTGTCGAATGTTTGAACGTGTCTTAGAAATTCTAAGCATTTTGGGAAAATTAGAAAAATTGACTATTTTTCAAAAGTTCAAAGGATACTTTGTCCACGTGATTTCACAAGTATGGAAAAATTTAAACGATATTTTGTGCAGCATTTCTTTTTCAACAGAAAAATGATATTTCGTTTGTAGAAAATCATTTCTTCCTATAAAATGTCTTCTCAAACGTTACACTATTTCTAAATTTCATTCATCTCGCGTTAATTCCATTTTATATCTTCTCTTTTCTAAAAAGGATCCAGGAAGTAACTAAATTAACTCACACGTGAAATTTTCTGAAATTTCTATTTTTCTTCCCTTCGAAACGTATAAAAATCTTACATTTACCTCGATAAAAATACCTCGAATTTATCTTCGCAAACGCTTATTGTAAAAACCGCCGAGGTAACTACCTCTAGCATTGGAGGAACAAAAAAAGGGAGATTGCCAAATTCTCGGTAGGAATTAAGTCTCGGTTTAGAGTAGACTTCTTCGAATGGAAGGATTACGTAAGACGTTGTTCAGAGTTCAATACACCGATGAAGCACGATACGAAGGATTTCATGCGTGTAAAAGCGTTTTCCGTAACTCTGATCCACATTATAGAATAAAGGTGGGTGCAACGTATAACGGAATAGCGTGGATACCACCCACGACCGAGAACACTAACATTTCACATATGGCCGTTATCCAAGGGTAATTTTCGCAACGTGGGAATCTACGACCTTTCAATTCTACATTCGCGATTGATCGCATCTGATAGCGGGAAAAAGATATTTCGCAAAGTGAATTCCCCGAGAAGAAAGTCACGATGATCGAAACAATTAAAGATCCGCTTGGTTAAACGAGGTAAGCAATTTAATTTAATTAACCAACATTCGACGAAGATTCTGGGATTTTCAACTACATAGTATTTCTTGTGCCTGGTGTATTCAGTTGTCTCTTCAAATGTTGAATTAATGTAGACATATAGAAAATAATGCGTTTAATTGTTACAGTATCTGATAAAACACCTGTTGAGCATTGTTTTAAAATACATTTGTATTTATTGGAATATTTTCATTTGAAAATGTGTCCAATATTATGGATTACCAAAAAAAGTATCATAAATTTTACTAAATTAGTTTTTTGTTTTTGAGAATATTATTAAAGTATCATACTTTTACCATAGTAAAATATGGATTTCTTACATTGTTGAATTTTCAATTAATTTTAAGTGAGGTTTTGTCACTTGAAAATGTATTTATACATATATATTTTTGTTTTGAGAATATCATGTTTGTCTAATGTAAAAAAAAGTATAAAATTTTGATTTCTCACAATCTTAAAATAATTTTGCTATTATTCGCTGCTTCTGTAAGCGAAGTTAATTTGAAAAATTTGATTGTTCGTGAAATGAATACAAGAGATATGCTGCTTCCACATTGCACTTTCTCGTTCGAGCAGAAGACACGGCAAAATGTTTTATATAAGAAAAAATATGTCTTAATGTCACATTTTATTGCTATACACTTTCATCGTTCCGCATATTCGCTAATGTATTTCGTAACAGTCGCTTTAAACACGATCGATTGAGATTTCACTGTAACTAATTATACAAGAAACGACAATTTACGTAACGTTTTTTCCCCTTAAAGCGTATCATAGCAACGATTAATTTACTATAATAGTATGAAATTTGAAAGAAAATTAACTAACTCGTATATTTATATCAGCTTTTCATTTCTACTCTTCGTAATCGTTTCTTACTCCGATCTTACGTAAACATTAAGTCACATTTTCCTACAGTATCCATTTCAGACACAATTTCAATAAAATTCAAATTCTTTTCATTCTCAAACTTTGCTTATCATTTTTTCAGTTTCCAATTTTTCCAATTTCAATACTCTGAATCGTTTTCACTCGTTATTGATCTACCATTTTACTATTTCATTCATTACTCAGCTCGAATTAATTCCCCTCGTTATTCATTATTTTATTCATTAGACAGCCATAATCAATTTTACAATTCCGATTGGGTGCGAGCACGATCGAGGAGAGGTGTAGCAATCACGAAGCTGCGCACACCAGGACTTTCTATTTGAAATGTTCAACGCGTTACAATTTCACTTGTTCCGCGGTGTTTCGCCCGCATACACTTACTTCGTCGACGATCTTCACGATCATCGGCGTCGTCGTTGGCGTCTCGGCAAACAAGCAACGATAACAAAAAAAAAAAAGGAAAAGAAACAAAAAGAAAGAAGGCACAGGTAAAGAAAAGAAATTCTTTACGTAGGAAATATGTACGCGATTCCGGGTTCACGACTGTGGGACGACGCTGGTCACGCGATTCACGCGGTCGGATGATAATAATAATTAACCGTAAGAGAACGAACCTTCTTCGAAGGGTTTAAGGAAGTCGCGAGGGGGGTCGTTAACGAACCTATGCTTCTGATTACGCCTTTTACGCGTATTGTCCGAGTTACGTAGATAAGAAATACGGCGAAGCCACGCCGCTGATAATTACCGTGTTTCCTTAAGAATAATACGCGTATATTAGCGCATTAAATTTATGAAAGAAAAGATGTATGTATTTCCTTTTTTCACGTATTTCACGATCGACGTTTAAACCACTAAGAAGCGAAAGTGACTAATTTCCATCGAATAACATTCGTTAAATTTGTTTTATTTGTGAAAAATTAAGCAGCAAGCGTGTGTTTTTATATTTAAATTGGAAAAATATGAAAAAGTGGAGTTAATCATTTTGGCTTCTGAGTGAAATATGATTTATTATTGTTAATGTATATTTCTTGTAGAAATTAGATTTTTTTTTAAATATAATTTAATGTTGCATCTTGGTTATTAACAACCATAATGGTTATTCTATATTTTACGATAAAAGGTTATTGTATGATTAGGTTAGATTGCTTTTTTGAAATTTTCTTGTTTCAAGTATTTCTTTAATATTGTTAGTTACTTGGATTTATTTGAATGAAGAATATTAAATTGTTGTTGAAAATAACTTTGCTACGTACGAATGTTGCTTCAGTGTATTATTCAGTATTATGTTCGACCCTGTACTTCGATCATTTTCATGTGATTAAAAATGCAATGTACGAGAATTTCTTAGGAGTAATTATATGGAACATAAAAATTAATTTAGGATAATCGTTGAGTATTTAGATAAATAAAAAGATACTAATATGTTAAATCTAATGTATATGTTTAAATAATAAATTAAAATTTACCTTCAAATCAATAATTAATTTCATTTTATAAATGTTATTTCAATTCGTGAAACAATGTATTTATCCGATTTATCAAATAAACAAGAGAACTGTAATAATAAATAGCAAGTTTTCTTTAAAGTATTCTTTTGTATGCAATCACTTTGTTCGTCAAGTAATTCAGTTTATTATAAGAGAAAGTGATCACGAGTTTTATGCATTACGTTAAAGTCTCGTTTCCAACACTGGATTGTGAACCCAATATACTTTTGTTGCTACAGACAAATATTTTGCACATATTGCTGCTATTCTTTAAAAATTTACTCACAGAAAAGAAACAGAAAATATTAATTATGTTTATTAAGGTAAAATTAAACAATTTAGAAATAAATGCAATAATTTGTTTATCATTTTGTTGCAAGTTAAAATTTTTCATTATAGAAAAATTTAAAAGTAATTTTTTATTATTCTATGGCACGCAATTCTGCTTAAGAAACATACATAATTAAAATGTGAAGGTTCAACTTCCTGTTCGTGCCATTTAAATATGTGCAACGAGACAAACACATGTTATCTACACGTTTGCATGCATCACACTGTTAAGAATAATTATAAAACACTCTTAAAATTTTATAAGTTTCTATTTCGTATGTGTAAATAATGTCACATAACCAAATCGAGCACTTTCATTTATGTATTATAATTTTCAAATCAATGGCATAGAGAAAATGTTATTATCAAATTTATAAAGTACAGCATACAACTTTTGAATGTCAGTTAATTTTGTCTTCAGATTACTTCATTTAAAGATACCAACGAAATTTCATACTGTGTTTGCACTATTTTAATAAAAACTTGAGTAGATACTTACATCACGACTTGAAATGGCTTCATTGTTTAGTCTACCATGATATTCATTATCAGTATTTCAAAGCTCAAACGTAAAAAAATATAACACTAACAAAGATATTCTTAGAACACATTACAATACTTGTATAATATCACCAGAAACAAAGATATTGTAAAAGCAACCATTGAATTGGATGTAAAAAAATTATGTTAAATTGGAATCAATAAATACATATTACTAATTAGTCAAAAATTAATAAAATTGAAAATACCCAGAACTGAAAATATTATTACTCTCTAAACACTCTCTTTTTAAACAATATATGAAAAGTTAAACATAAAACTTTAAGTTAGAAATACGAAGATACAATCGGGACGGATAAAAACAAATATATCTTCACCAGGAATTTATCAATAATTCTTTAATCAGCAGAAGTGAATCACAATAATGTGTAAAACTTTACACACATATAACTGGATCAATACAACTTGCAATTCGTGTAATTATACACGAATAAATAAATACGTATATGCTGATAGCAAGTAGTACTGAATATGAAATATGGATAAAAAAGTAACACAATGGCTATCGATACTAGCAATTTTACTACACAATACCGGCAAAGATTCTACTCTCACGGCAGTTTAAAGGTATGGACTTCTATCAAGTTACTAGCTGCAACATTGACTTCTCTTGTTCCCATAAAAACCACAAGCATCTTCAAACTGCTTGTCGGCAATACGAAGTTCAGATCCTTCATTTGGAATGTGCCGTCCTATACGGTAACTTTCATTTCCTCCTCGGAGTCGCAACACCAAGTGCAGTGTCGACTCTTTCTGGATGTTGTAATCTGAAAGAGTGCGACCATCTTCCAGCTGTTTACCAGCAAAGATCAAACGCTGCTGGTCAGGAGGGATTCCTTCTTTGTCTTGAATCTTGGCTTTAACGTTCTCTATTGTGTCTGAAGCCTCAACTTCCAGGGTGATGGTTTTCCCCGTCAGCGTCTTGACAAAGATCTGCATTCCTCCTCGGAGTCGCAACACCAAGTGCAGTGTGGACTCCTTTTGGATGTTGTAATCTGAAAGAGTGCGTCCATCTTCCAACTGCTTCCCAGCAAAGATCAGACGCTGCTGGTCAGAAGGGATTCCTTCTTTGTCTACGATTTTGGCTTTAACGTTCTCTATTGTGTCTGAAGCCTCAACTTCCAGGGTGATGGTTTTCCCCGTGAGCGTCTTGACGAAGATCTGCATTCCTCCTCGGAGTCGCAACACCAAGTGCAGTGTGGACTCTTTTTGGATGTTGTAATCTGAAAGAGTGCGCCCATCTTCCAACTGTTTGCCAGCAAATATCAAACGCTGCTGGTCGGGAGGGATTCCCTCTTTGTCTTGAATCTTAGCCTTAACGTTATCTATTGTGTCTGAAGCCTCAACTTCCAGGGTGATGGTTTTCCCCGTGAGTGTTTTGACAAAGATCTGCATTCCTCCTCGGAGTCGCAACACTAAGTGCAGTGTAGACTCTTTTTGGATGTTATAATCTGAAAGAGTGCGACCATCTTCCAACTGTTTCCCAGCAAAGATCAAACGCTGCATATCAGAAGGGATTCCTTCTTTGTCTACGATCTTGGCCTTAAGGTTCTCTACTGTGTCTGAAGCCTCAACGTCCAGGGTGATGGTTTTCCCATTGAGCGTTTTGACGAAGATCTGCATTCCGCCACGGAGTCGCAACACTAAGTGCAGTGTGGACTCCTTTTGGATGTTATAATCTGAAAGTGTGCGCCCATCTTCCAACTGTTTGCCAGCAAAGATCAAACGCTGCTGGTCGGGAGGGATTCCTTCTTTGTCTTGAATCTTGGCCTTAACGTTCTCTATTGTGTCTGAAGCCTCAACGTCCAGGGTGATGGTTTTCCCCGTGAGCGTTTTGACAAAGATCTGCATTCCTCCTCGGAGTCGCAACACCAAATGCAGGGTGGATTCCTTTTGGATGTTATAATCTGAAAGAGTGCGCCCATCTTCTAACTGTTTGCCAGCAAAGATCAAACGCTGCTGGTCGGGAGGGATTCCTTCTTTGTCTTGAATCTTGGCCTTAACGTTCTCTATTGTGTCTGAGGCTTCTACCTCCAAGGTGATGGTTTTCCCTGTGAGCGTCTTGACAAAGATCTGCATTCCTCCTCGGAGTCGCAACACCAAGTGCAGTGTGGACTCTTTTTGGATGTTGTAATCTGAAAGAGTGCGCCCATCTTCCAACTGTTTGCCAGCAAAGATTAAACGCTGCTGGTCGGGAGGGATTCCTTCTTTGTCTTGAATCTTGGCCTTAACGTTCTCTATTGTGTCTGAGGCTTCTACCTCCAAGGTGATGGTTTTCCCTGTGAGCGTCTTGACAAAGATCTGCATTCCTCCTCGGAGTCGCAACACCAAGTGCAGTGTGGACTCTTTTTGGATATTGTAATCTGAAAGGGTGCGCCCATCTTCCAATTGTTTGCCAGCAAAGATCAAACGCTGCTGGTCGGGAGGGATACCTTCTTTGTCTTGAATCTTGGCCTTAACGTTTTCTATTGTGTCTGAAGCCTCAACTTCGAGTGTGATGGTTTTCCCCGTCAGCGTCTTAACGAAGATCTGCATTCCTCCTCGGAGTCGCAACACCAAGTGCAGGGTGGACTCCTTTTGGATATTGTAATCTGAAAGTGTGCGCCCATCTTCCAACTGTTTACCAGCAAAGATCAAACGCTGCTGGTCGGGAGGGATTCCTTCTTTGTCTTGAATCTTGGCCTTAACGTTCTCTATTGTGTCTGAAGCCTCAACTTCGAGTGTGATGGTTTTCCCTGTGAGCGTCTTGACGAAGATCTGCATTCCTCCTCGGAGTCGCAACACCAAGTGCAGTGTGGACTCTTTTTGGATATTGTAATCTGAAAGTGTGCGCCCATCTTCCAATTGTTTGCCAGCAAAGATCAAACGCTGCTGGTCGGGAGGGATTCCTTCTTTGTCTTGAATCTTGGCCTTAACGTTTTCTATTGTGTCTGAAGCCTCAACTTCGAGTGTGATGGTTTTCCCTGTGAGCGTCTTGACGAAGATCTGCATTCCTCCCCGGAGTCGCAATACCAAGTGCAATGTGGACTCTTTTTGGATATTGTAATCTGAAAGAGTGCGCCCATCTTCCAACTGTTTACCAGCAAAGATCAAACGCTGCTGGTCGGGAGGGATTCCTTCTTTGTCTTGAATCTTGGCCTTAACGTTTTCTATTGTGTCTGAAGCCTCAACTTCGAGTGTGATGGTTTTCCCTGTGAGCGTCTTGACGAAGATCTGCATTCCTCCTCGGAGTCGCAATACCAAGTGCAGTGTGGACTCTTTTTGGATATTGTAATCTGAAAGAGTGCGACCATCTTCCAACTGTTTCCCAGCAAAGATCAAACGCTGCTGGTCGGGAGGGATTCCTTCTTTGTCTTGGATCTTGGCCTTCACATTCTCTATTGTGTCTGAGGCTTCTACCTCCAAGGTGATGGTTTTACCTGTGAGGGTTTTGACGAAGATCTGCATATTTGTAGATCTGAAGGACTGTAGGAGAAAACCATGTACAATATAAGATGGTTATAATATTATTATTACTGTATGGTAAATCATGCAGAATTTCATGTCTGTACAAGGATTGGGAAATATTCAAATTGGTTTTATTTTTCCTTTAAAATGGTATTGTATTCACAAACAAATTTCTTATGATTTAGTTGTAAATCAGAATTTAATATTTTGTGTTTTATGTTTTTTGGACTTATGGTGCAATTATAGCACATTACAAGTAAAATAACTTTTCTTTCTTACTAATTAGTGACATTTATTGGAATTTTAAAAAATTGTGCTTCTAATACTTTCAATAGATCATTCAGAATATGAACTGAAATAAGATTTTACAAAGATGTTTTCTAGGAAAGCAATGGCTATACAGTAATGTCTCTACAAGTGTCAGCCAGTTTGCATTCTACAAGTGTCAGTATAGATGTCTGGCGTGACAGTGAACGTGTTAATAAGTAAATGTTGTTCAAATGATGTCGTGTTTGATATCATTTTCATCAGAAAAACCTCATCAATATGTTAAGAAAAATTTCGGGTTAAAAAAACGTAAAATTAAAAAAGTTGATATTTAAATCGCTTGGTTGCCTCGTCTCACGTTTCATCCTTATCTTTTATTCGCTGTCCTTGTCTACGTTCGGCAAATTACAAAGGCGGGTACGAGGCTCGAAAACGTAGTCCCTGAATCTACAAGTGTCAGATTTAGGTTCCTTGCGATCTGACAAATGAATGTTTGCAAATAGAAGAACATTTACTAAAATAGAATTCTGATTCCAAAACTTCAAGTATAAATTAACTTTAACATTAATCTATCAAACCATCTATACAAAGATTGAATACTACTGCATCATTTAAATTATTTCTGTGATAGAACAAAAACGTTTTACAAAATAACTACTTTTAAGTAAACTATTATAAAATGCAAAAATTCATGTATCATTGTATTTGCAAAAATCAGGTTAGATGCGTCACTTATTTTCATGAGAGGTCAGTAACGATGTTCCATTTATCTTATAAAAGAGGTTAGTGAGTCATTGAATGAAAACAATAGGACGCTATCGCTGACACTTCACAAGAAACAGCTTCCATCATTATAAGAAACGAGTTATATGTTAAAATAGTGTCTTATTTGAAGCTTTTCAAAGATTCGAATATATATAAATAATGCAGGGAATAACTCTATACTTCTATTGAATGCTTACATATGTTATAAAAGAATATACGCTAATATTAAGCTATAGAATGACTTTTTATGCAGTAACAGCTGTATGCAGTAATGGTTTAAGATAGTATTGATCGTCTCGAACATCAAAATGGAGACTAGGTGATGAAACCGTAAAATATTATTTGGAAACTTATTTAATATTTTTACTAACCATTATAGAACTATTAAATAATTGATGTACTTACATGTGACAAAATAATTTACAAAATATTTGTAACCCAAGTCAGACAAAATCGTACAGAAACTCAAGATACAAAAACATACGAAACAATACACAGTACTTCACAAGAAGTGAGAGAGAATGACGTACAGCTTGCGTATATATATATACTCAACATGGTTGCCAAATTCGTAGTTTCAAATTCCCTAGATTAAAATAAAATAGAATAATTTCTCCGAAATAAGAAAAGATATTTTTTTAAAGATAGATTTTATTTAACTTTTTAACAAATATGTAAAATTTAAGAAACACTAAATAAAGTATAAAATATGAAATCTTCTTACAAAAAAATATGATAAAGTATTTCTAGAACCCTTTGATCTTTAAATGTTGAGAATACATTTGATATATTTGAATTTAAAATATTATAGTCAGATATAAAATTTAAAAGATCGCATTTTAAATCGATAAAATACATAATTAAATAATGGATACTTCTAATCTTATATACGAAAGAAAAGAACAAATAGTTGTATATGCGTCGTTTCCGCAAATGAGCGAATTGTGTTGCGTAATTTGTGAAACTGATTTTATTGAAGTTCATGATTCCTCATCAAAATCAAATTTCCATTGGCAAACAATCAAATGTCGGTAAGTGTATCTTAGATTTTGTTTTCACATATTGTTTGCAAATTTTGTTATTTTAAAATTAATTTGTGCTTCGTAATAAAATAATTTTAGATTACTTATTCATTTAATTCCTGACGTAATTGCTATGCCTGTATCAGGTACAGAAAGATTTATATTTGTTGTTGCAAATAAAAGATATTTTGAAACTGGAAAATTGGAAAGAATTTTAAGAAATTTTAAACTAGTGGTTTGTTAAAGACGTATACTTTTATTTGTTTAAACAATTGACTCTAATAATATATTTGTTATAAATTAATGCCTTTACTTATATTTTTATTAGTATCGCGGGTTACGATCAATTACTAATGAACTTTATAAAATATGTCTTATGTATACAATACAGACTAAAATAGCTCCTTTATGGAATAAAGTTGGTGATTACTTTGTTCAAGGAAAGGAGTTTTATAATTTTATAGAAGGAATTAGATCAGTCAAATTAGATATTCTGATATATGGTATAGAAATTCGAATTTTATTATTCATAAAATACATAGTTTTATGTATTAATATTGAAAAATATTCTAGGAAATGATATTTGTTTACAATTCTGTGCAATAAAAGTTAAAATACCATATATAAAGCTTGAAGATTATCTTCCACCATCTGTCATATCTCAATTTTTAGCAGATCCTAAAGGATATATCAATTTATCTTGCTATAAATTTCCTTTTATACATGTGCTACCAAGGTAGTAATAATTCGTTACATCTAATAAATGTATATTTATATATTTATCAATTTTATAATAAATATCTAAAACCTTTCTTAGTACAAAAAAAGGTAAATTATTATCTGTATCTAAGGAAATTCCTGCAAAGAGTGTGTTTAAAAATTATGACCAATTACGTAGACATTGGAAAAATATGGTATGTATGCTTATCTTGTGTATATTTTCTATAATTCAAACTGCTTTCAAGTTTAGTTTCATATAAGTATATAACATTTCAGTATGGATATTCTTTACCAAAACATGAGAATCATACTTTATACTATGAAATTAAGTTTTTAATACCTAGGTCAAAGATTTTCACATATCCTAACTTGTGTGTAGCAAGTGGTCCATTAGATATTATTCCAAGTGGAGATAAAGAACATACAATTACATATTTTTTATCTGATTTACTTTTAAAATTACCTACAATTTGTGGTAAAGAATTACAGATATCCAAACATGCTCCATTTAACTCAGTAAGTTAGTGAAATTGTACAATCTCTAAGCAGTACAAGTAGAAATGAATATATACTATTTTTATGCAGAAAATTTTAAATTCATCACCTGATACATTACTGAAAAATGAAGAATTAAGTACACATCTGAAGGAAAAAAATAATACTTCTTTAGAATTAGAATTTTCTACCAAATATGTAGACAAATTAACAAAAGATACAAATACTGCTTCTACAACATTGAAAACACAATTTGCTAAAATTCATCAGATTCACAACATACAGCTTTCTGAGAATGTTAAAACAGATTCAATTAACAGACAAATAAGTCATAAACAAGAAGGTACCAAAGTAATAATGTGCATATACCAATACTTTTGAAGTTTATTTATTCTAATTATAAAATAAATTTCACAGAAAGTCAATGTTTAAATACTGCACAAAATTTAGCTACTCAAAGTATGCAAAATGTTTATACTAAAAATAATATGCCCAGAAATTTGGTTGATAATTGTACTTCCTCAAAGAAAGAAACAATTTCCAGATATTTTAATAAAGGAGAGGTATTCTTTCTTCATTTTTATTTCTGCTATCTATTTTTTGCAAATATAGATATATTTTTATAACATCAACTCAATAGAAGTTATTAAGGCAATTTTATTATTTATTATTTACATATTATTTATAATTTAAATTAGCCAGCACAA